ATATATAATGATATATATCCTTATTTTGCATATATAAAAGATTGTATAATGCAACATCAAAAGAACTGAAGAGACAAATACAAAATGCTGGTGAATCTTAACTGGGGATTTCATGTGAGTAAGATATTTGGATAATATCTAAATATAGGGAAATTGTAAGGGAAACATGTTATTTAAATGTTGCGTCAGCGGCAACCCTTCAAACCACCTCCTCATGCAAATCACAAAGGTTGAGGATTCCCTTGGGTTTCATGTCATGGATACTCCCAAATGATGTTTTTACAATATTTTCTTTGGCAAAGAACACACTAGAAACAGGTTTTCCTCCGAGCTCTATAGCCTACTAAACACACCTGGGTTACACAACGGTTGTTGCTGTGGGTGTGTAAACCACAGGTATAACTGCTACTGATATATAATGTGCTTTAAGTTTGTTTATAGAGCTGATGCATACCATAGCTTTGCTTCTGCACAAGGGCATCATATGGCCCGAGGGCCAAAAGTGGCCCTCAGATAGTATTCATCTGGCATCCCATTTAAAATATGTTAATGGGAACCCACATTTTAACAATAATTGATTGATTTATGATGCCTTTATGGAGCACAATGAAATTACATTTACGATGATGACAGAAAATAAAGTACATAATAGACACAAGGTTAACTTAAACTGCAACTGCAAGTAAACATGCAACATTTTATGCATATTTAAGCTAAAATTTTTATTATCTCAAGAACCCGTTCACAGAAAGTATGTCTCCTAGAAGGTAATGTATAACAGGGACATATTTGACAGAGCATGTGCTAACTGTGCTAGCACTTGTCCAAACAGGAAATGGAAGAAAAAGCCTCTCACTTCTGTTGGGAAGAAATTAGCCCTTTGATTGCTTTAAACAACCGACATGACCCACTGGAGACAAAATGATGCCCACCCCTGTTTCATTAAAATAGTGCCAAAGATAAACTAAAAAAAATACATAATCTCAAAATAAAAGCTTATAATGCAAAATGACTAATAAGTTACTTTTACATGTATTAATCTATTAGTGTAGTTCTCACTTAAATTACTATTACACAATGATACACATATTTATGTCAAATATTGCTTATGAAGTAGAAAGTGTGCCATAATAAAAACAAGATGCTGAACTCTCCGAAAAGTTCTGATAGCTTTAAAATGTGATGAAACAACTCTCTCTGAAAAATGGTTAAAAAATAAATACATTTTAAATCAGAAATATTCTGTATGAGCTCAGTTTGTGTAAAACTGACTAAAAACTTTTTTTGTTTAAACGAGATGTTAAAGTGTTTCTCTGCGCTCAGCGTTTGTTCAGACCGGTTTAAACTAGTCCTCCTTTTAGTTTTTGATAAGAGTTGAACGCTCTCCCGGTGAACATTGCCCTGATTAATGATCTCTTTTTGTTTCAGTTCTCACAACAACCTCTGTGTTTGTTGTTCTACATAAACGTCATGCGGCTGCTGCTCGGCCGAGTCTCGGATGGTGTTTCCCATCAAGGTCCACCCACCGCACAGGATGATGTACCATATATGGTAAATTACGTCGCGGGATTCCTTTTTTCTGGAACCTTCCATTTCTCCTTGCGAGTTTTAAAAAACGCGCAACATTCTTCTCGTTTTCGTCGTCGAGCGACTAAAAAAAACAAGCTCTCTTTTGCAAGGTTTGCAGAACTTAGTGGGGAAAAAAAGCGTCTCGCGTCTTGTTTTTGCTGTGTTGTTATGCTAGCTTCTTTTGGTTTCCTCCTCGCGCATTTGAAACACGCCCCTTACGTAGACGTCATCACGCACTGACAATAAAAGCCTCTTCAGCGGCGGAGGAAAGGCAGATTGACTTGAGTAGCAGATTTGGAACTACAGGAAAACAACTAGAAGGACGCTTCCAGGAGTTTCTTTTTACAAGAAACCTACAAAAGGGGATTTCTTTTACTTACAGTTTACATTCCTACTTAAGTGGAGTTTGTTTGGATATTCCTTTTCTGAACCATGATGTTCACCGCTTTCAACGCTGAGTGCGACTCTTCCTCCCGCTGCAGCACGGCTTCCCCGTCCGGGGATAACCTGGGATACTACCCGTCCCCGGCCGGATCTTACTCCAGCATCGGTTCTCCTCAGTCGCAGGTATGTTAAGCCAATAGTTGTACAAAACTATAAAGTTAATAGGATAGCAATAGTTTTTGAACCTCAAAGAAAAAGTTTGAGTGAACGAAATAACTGCTGTTTTCATTCATTCATTCATTCATCCGCCTGAAAACGTCACAGCTGACATCATGTGGATATTTTTAAACAGGCTTTTGCTGCAGGCTCCCCCTTAAATTAAATGTTTCTTATCTTTTTTTTTTTTATTTCCTCCAGGACTTCACTGACCTGACAGCATCAAGTGCCTCCTTCATCCCCACCGTCACAGCCATATCCACCAGCCCGGACCTGCAGTGGATGGTGCAGCCTCTGATCTCCTCAGTGGCCCCCTCTCACAGAGCTCACCCCTACAGCTCCAGCCCAAGCCCGGCTTACCCCAGAGCAGCCGTGAAGGCTGCACCGTCCAGGACTCACGTCTCTTCCAAAAGGGGCAGGATGGAACAGGTAATTATGGTTCGATTACACCGTTATAGCTTCGCAATGATGGCTAAAAGCACATGTAGAGCAGAAAGTCTTACTTTGTTTCATGTCATGTGCAGATAACCCCTGAGGAGGAGGAGAAGAGAAGAATTCGCAGAGAGAGAAACAAGCAGGCAGCAGCTAAATGCCGCAACAGGAGGCGAGAGCTTACAGACACCCTGCAAGCTGTAAGTATCCCAAAAGATTTCATTTATCAACATGGATTTACTGCCAGAGCTAGTAGCAGAGCAATCCAACTAAATGTCACTTCCTCTTTTTTTATTTCTCAGGAAACTGATATGCTTGAGGATGAGAAGTCCAGCTTGCAGAATGACATCGCCAACCTGATGAAGGAGAAGGAAAGGCTTGAGTTCATCCTGGCAGCCCACCAGCCCATTTGCAAAATCCCCTCAGAGCTGGACACGGACTTCCTGGTGTCCTCCATCTCCGCCCCCGTCTCCTGCCACTCCTCCGTCGTGCCTTCCTCCCAGCCCGCCACCTTTACCTCAGCCTCCAACTCCATCTTCTCCAGCCCCGCCTCCGTCGCCGTCGTGTCCGGCAGCGCCGCCGTCAAGATGACCGACCTGGACTCCTCCGTCCTGGAGGAGTCCCTGGACCTGCTGGCCAAGACGGAGCTGGAGACGGCGCGGTCGGTGCCCGAGGTGGACCTGTCCAGCTCCGTCTACGCCAGCCAGGACTGGGAGCCCCTCCACGCCTCCGCCAGCGGCGCCAGCAGTGACTTTGAGCCCCTGTGCACGCCCGTGGTGACCTGCACGCCGGCCTGCACCACCTACACGTCTTCGTTCATGTTCACCTTCCCCGAGGCGGAGACCTTCCCCACCTGCGGCATGGCCCACCGGAGAGGCAGCAGCAGCAACGAACAGTCCTCGGACTCACTCAGCTCTCCAACCCTGCTGGCCCTTTAAAGACTCTTCCACAGACGATAATAATTCTTCCTCAACGAAGCCCGTTTTGAGCTAGATGTGCAGCTTACAGGGCTATGGAGCAGACTTGTATCAGGAAGCTAATTATTTATGATTTTTATCTGTCTTTATTAATATATACTTGCCTATTACACCAATGTAGCAAGTTAATAAGCATGTTTCAAACAATAGTTGTTCTGAGTTCCTATACGATTAAATGGTGCTAGTTAACGAAACTTATTGTTTATTGATCTGTCGTCAGAGCAATAGATATTATTAGTATTTTTTGAGAATTGTGTGATTGTCTGTGAACCTTTTGGTGTGCTTTGTCCTAACCATGGTGTGAGTGGTCTATCAAACTATGAAGTTTTCTGTGAAAACATTTGTGCTTTTAATTTATTAAATTTTTATTTTTCTACATAGTATTATAAGAAAAAAAACCTGTTGTATATGATGTGAATAAAAAAAAACATAGCGATATTTAAATTCAAGTTACTTGTTATGCTTCTGATTTCTTATAGTCACAGTATTTCTACCCACGCACTTTAAAAAAGATATTTCTGATAAATAATCTAAAAATGATCCAGTTCGGGGATAGCAGTATTTTTTTTCCTTCTCCTCCACAGGCTCTATTTATTGTTCCGTCTGTTGCCAGGGCTGGCTGTACGTCAGGGATATGACGTCAGTGCGTTATTTTCCTCTTCTTCTTTTTTTCTTGCAAAGCTATGCGCGATTACGTCTTATTTCCGTGCCCAAATATAGAAGCCTACGGGGAGCAGCTTTTTGCTGTCTGCTGCAGCGGCAGCGAGAAGACAGACAACAGAAAACCCGAAAATTAAAGAAAAAAAATAGACCTGAGCCTAAGAGGGTTTTACTTTAGAGGTAAAAAGAAAAAAAAAAAAACAAAGAAAGGAAAGTTTTCAGCCGTTAGCGTGTCCGCAGAAAAGCGGAAAGGAGCCTCGCGCTTCTTCCGTAAACGTTCACGTCTGAGAAATCGCACGAGGATCCGAAAGCGACGCTTCGACCACAAACTGGTGTCGGTTTTTGCGTCTTCGGTTCTGAATGCGTCAAAATGCATCAGAGCCGCGACCCTGAGACGCAGAAATAAAAACATTCTCAGAAATGATTTATGGGCCATGGTTAAAAAGCAGGAAGATGTTTGGACCTGAAGCAAAAGGTTGACAGCATGTAAGGCTAATATCGATTTTTTTTTTTTTTTTTTTTTGCTGAAGTCTGTCTGTTAGCGAAATATCTCATGATATATGGAACAGATTTAAATGAAACTCTCAAGTAGTAATGTCTGGATGTACCTCTACAACTGATTAGCTTTTGGGTTGTACACAATACAAGAAGACCAGCACAGCTAAGCAGAATTACAAAACACAAAAATAGTTAAACCTTAGCCAGTTTTACAAATTTTCAGCTATAATTTGACATGTTAGTAGTTGAGAGGCTTCCCCATCACATACTCTAAGTTTTAACTAAGTGCACAAGATCTGATGTTAAAATCTGCCTTTAACTACTAAGAGTCAATTATATCTGTCTGTTATCAAAATATCTCATGGACTACCTAACAGATTTACATGAAACTCCCAAATACTAATGTCTAGATGTACCTCTACAACTATATAACTTATAGAGTCGACACAATGCAAGATGACCGCCACAGCTAAGCAGTCTTACAAAACACAAAAGTACCCAAAACTCAGCTAATTTTACAAGTACTGAGCAATAAATTGGTGTGTAAGTAGCTGAAAGGCATACCCATCACTTGCTCTGAGTTTAAACAAAGTGCATGAAATTTAATGTTAAAAGTTTGCCATTAACTATCCGAGTCAATTGTATCTGCCTGTTAGCAAAATATCCCATAAACTACCTAACAGATTTAAATGAAATCTCTTGTGGGATAAGCGTTTGGTGCACATCGGCAAATGATTAACTTTTAAACATAAAAACAATAATTTTTAAAAACTGTTTTTGTTCCCTTAATGCTTTAACATCAGCTATCGCTAACTAACTTTGTTAGCAAGAGTTTCTCATGAAGAAGAAGATAAATTTTAAAAAACAAATAATTTGAAATAGCATTTGGAGTTATCCCAATAAAAGATGACTTCATTTGACATCTGGTAAACCTTTGTTCGTTTGGTTGCAAATACATTTGCGAGCCACGAAAACACAGACTTATTACAAATCCCATTTATGTCAAATAAGAGGCAAAACTTCTCCGATTGCTTCGACGACACTAACAGGTAATGTGTTCCTCACCGAATTGTGCAACACTTAAATAAGCTTAAAATCCTTATACGTTTATTTTTCTTTTGTGCTAAGTTCGTTTGATTCATCTTTATTTCATCATGTACGGGATGGTCGGAAGAGGGGTTGCCTAATAGCTTTGACAGGAAGTGCGCAGAGTGTGTGTGTGTGTGTGTGTGTGTGTGTGTGTGTGTGTGTGTGTGTGTGTGTGTGTGTGAAAGACACACACGCACTGCTCTGTGGAAGGCTATGTCTGACAATAACTAACTAACTCTGACGTTTGATGGTGTGGTCACACCCTAATGTGTAACCCAACACCATGATGTGGCACTTTAAAAGGCCTTTCCCATCAGATTTTGTAGGGAAAATAAATTTTAAGCAGTTTTAATAGTCAAAATGTGCAAAAAATTTGAATATTTATGTTTGCGTACGTTAGAGCTTCCTGTTTCATTAGCTTGCTGCTGTTGCATAAGAGCCACAACTCTGACTAGATGTGTTTTCTTTTGCACTTTGATGAGCAAAACCTCCTTTTTTCCCCCCCTCAGTAAAGCTCATATGCGAGCAGGTCTATTAATATCCCTCTGCCGGGCTGCAGGGAGATGGGGTAGCAGCAGAAATAGCAGGTGCCTATTGCTTCTTTTAAACATCAGCATCAACAGCAGTAAAATTAGACCAGTGTGACGCCAACCTGCGTCGGTGCTGCAGCCCATCGGGGAGGGAAGCAGGCAGTGTATGGCGATCGCAGAAGGAGAAAAGGAAAGTAAGGCATGGGCGAAGGGAAGGAGAGGAGGAGGAGGATAGGGAGGGAGGCAGACAGAGATCCCTGCCTCTGTGGAAGTGCGAGAACAGTGATGATGGAACAGAGTTCGCCTACGTGACGACAAACACAACAGCTCCGTTTGGCTCGGAGAGCCCAGGTACTGTTTGTGATGAGAGGGGGCTTACAAGTGATTTACGAAGCCATAAATGGTCTTCCTCCTGTGGCTGAGGGTCTCATTGAGTGGGGGGGAATAATGAGTGAAAAAAATCAGTCTTAAAACAAAATCAGTGCGTTGCATTGTCATCACGACACAATGAAGATATCCTTATGTTAAAGGGGCTCACTGCAAATTCATAAAGACTGTTTAAGAAACAAAAATCTACACAACATCTTTCTGATATCAATGATTTAAGTGTCCGTGGATCAAAAAGACACGCCACCAGCTACGTGCGTTTGTTTACCTGCGTAAACAGCCGAAGTGACTGAAAATAGGTCAACAATGATGACGTTCATGAAAAAGCTGTTTGGGTTGAAGAAGTCCAACAGGTTTGACGTCGTGGGCAAGCAAAAGTTTTGCATGTGTTTGAATGCTGATATTTGTTGTTATGGCATTCCCATGCCCTGTTTGACCCTTAATTTATATTTATTTATTTCACTTTCAGACTTTAATTTATTTTATTTAACAGGACAGTGCATATTAATAACTGTGATGTGCCAGAATTAGCCTAAGGCTAGTTTTCACCTACCACTTTATACATCAAATGCATGCTTATTCACAACCAAAAGGTCTTGATTCAGCTGAGTGCTTTGTTTACATTGAGCGTGTACCCGCATTTTAGAGTGATCTATAAATACCTGGAAAACTATAGACGTAAACTATTTTAACCTGCACTGTTTAGATGAGGTTCAGTACAACCGTTGTTTTTAGTTAGTTTTATTTTATCCTTTGCAACGAGGAGCTTTAGTTGTAACATTAGGGATTATTTGATAAACATTTACTTCAGCTGAAAAGCAAACATTGTAAAAAAATTTGTAGGCTGATTAGTCTTTATTAAACGTAGATACAACTCTTTCCTTCTCTTCCTCTGGTCCATGTTGAGTGTGGTACACTGTCACCAAACAGTGAGTACCTGTAGCTCTATATACTGACTGATTACAAGATTGTAGACACATGTGATGCTAATTAGTGGACACGCCTTGATTTAGCAGGACACTTTGGTCACATTATTTTCAGGGGTAGCATCGTTTCTGTCCAGGCCTGTTTTATGAGTTTTATTTAAAAAAAAGAATTTGTTGACTTTCGTTTGTTCAATTTTATAGAATTTTTATTTATTGTTATTTTTTGTCAGATACAAGCTATTTCTGTGACCGTTGTGGGTTTTTCTTTCTTTAAACAACAACAATTTTGTCCACGTGTGCATGTGATATAGCGTTAGCTCCCAAGCAAACACACACATATATGGTGATATACCATTAGCTCCCGAGCTAACACACACACACACACACATGTACGTGTGTGTGTGTGTGTGTGTGTGTGTGTGGCAGTTTAGCATTATCTCCTGAGCTAGTACACATATATGGCTCTATAGCGTTAGCTCCTGAGCTATTGCCATATAAAGCTAGTTCTCGAGCTAATAATGTTAGTTCAGCAACTAATATCACATGCACACGTGGACAAAATTGTTGTTCAATTTTATAGAATTTTTATTTATTGTTGTTTTTTGTCAGATACAAGCTATTTCTGTGACCATTGTGGGTTTTTCTTTCTTTAAACAACAACAATTTTGTCCACGTCTGCATGTGATATAGCGTTAGCTCCCAAGCAAACACACACATATGGTGACATACCATTAGCTCCTGAGCTAATATATGTATATATATATA